TATTTCAGGAAGCTGAAGAGCTGACATCCCGGCTGAAATTCTGAAAGAAATATCTGATTAAATATCCGAACCATTATCACAGCTGATAAATAAAATATTTTTTTTCGGGAACTCTCCACCCCATTCACAAAAGCTATAATTAAGTCAATTTTTAAATCCTGGTATAAACATTTGATGAAAAACTATAGGCCAATTTCAGTTATAACTAATCTGGCTAAATTATTTGAAAAATCATTCAATACAAGAATTATCCTATATTATGAAAAATAATCTTATGAATGAAAGACAATACGCATTCCAACAAAATAAATCCACTCAGGATGCCGTAGCTCAAAGCAAAGCGAAGGCGTTTGGCACGGTAAGCCACTCACAATTACTAAATGTCTAAAAGGATCTGGACTTCAGAGGTATTACAAAGCAATTAGAAAAAAAAAAAAGAAAATTGTCTGGTGGATCGAACAGCAAGTGAAATTTAATAATTGTTCTGGTTCAGGAAAAATGGAAACTTTCGGAGTTCCTCAGGGTACTGTCTTGGACCCAATATTGTTCACTATGTATATCAATAGCATTTCAAGTACATATACTTCTGGAGAAGTAATAAGCTTCGCGAACAAACCGCAATAATATTCGAGTCTGACAGCTGGGAAGAACTGTGAGACATTATTCAGAAAGATATGAGGGTCACAAAGAAGTGGTTTGAATACCAAGTTCTCACTATTAATTAAAAAAAACATTCTACCTACATTTTTCTTGCTATTAAAATACTGAACCCCTTTATACCGTCCAGAAGACCTATCAATATTTTCAAATTAATAAAAATGATTCAATAAAATACACGTAAGATGGAATGTACATATTCGTAATATTTTTAATATATGTATATCATTTATAGATTCAAATTTCTTTTAAAGTTTCGAGACCAAAATTATTTGAAAATGATTTATTACGCATAGACGAATATATGGCATAATAGGATGGGAACGAAGTGTGCTCAAAGAAAATATAAAAATATATGAACAGTTCAAAAAACGTTCCTTAAAATAATATACAGAAAACAAATGCAATATTCTTCTGTTTTTGATATCCGATTTTTTATCGTAGTAACAACTTTTATAGTCGAACAAAAATCAATTTTACAAATATTTGATTATAAATTATCGAACTAGAAAAAAATATAAATATTACAATCCATCACTTACATTGACATCAATTGAGCAANCAACTTCGCCTCAAACTCTTAATGGAAACTCTTAATGGAACTCTATGTTTTGATAGTTATAATAAACACGTGTTCCATAGGGCAAAATTTTGTCGACAGTTTTGTCAGCATATTAAACTTTTGCTATGAGTTCAGTAAAATTTAATCCCTAAGAATAGTGTGTATGGCAGGATTTAATATAACTCACACATAAGAATACGGGCGAGTAAATATTTACTGCACATGAATATATGTGCTTGAATCTGCAACTCTACAGAAAACTTGTTTTCCTGTTTATGATTTTCAAAACTAATGTGAAATTAGTTTATGAATGTAATTAGCGGACTCATTTTTCTTTTTCATGCAGTAACTGCAGAAACGGTCAAGTCTCCATTCGAAAAACTGAAGGAAGTGTTTTTGATAGTTTCAAATTTAGAGTTTGCACTGATTGAGACTCATTGGAACGCCTACTGATTTTTGCATTTTTTTTTCAAATCTGGCTCAAACGTTGTCGGCACCTCAAAAAGAAAATTATGTTTTTATTTGTAGATCATACCTGTCAATCTTGAAACGAAATTGTTTTTTTTTTTTCAGAAAACGGACGTGACATACGAGCTTGTGGAAGAACTGCAAATGAAAACGAAAGAGTTCCTACAACCTAACCCTACAGCTCGAGCCAAAATGGCCGCTGTTAAAGGTATTAGTAAGCTTAGTGGCCAAGCAAAATCCAATACGTATCCTCAACCAGAGGGTGTACTAGGAGACTGTATGCTCATGTATGGTAGAAAATTAGGAGATGATAGCCCCTTCGGACTGGCTTTAGTAGAAATGGGGGAAGCGCTCAAACAAATGGCTGATGTGAAATATTCGCTCGATGATAATATTAAACAAAACTTTTTAGAGCCTTTACATCACCTGCAGACTAAAGACTTGAAAGAAGTAATGGTAAGTTGCATGTTTTTATATTTAAATATTACGGTAAATCGATTACAATCAAAACGAAATAAATGAATAAGATTATGTTTATTGTTCTCTAGAATATGGTCTCAGAAGAATACACACAAAGTTGGCTTGTAATAGCGTCTTGGCATCGTTCATAAACGTTGGACCAGTTGGTACCAGAGGTAGTAGATGTTAGAGTCAACTTTACCAGGAAGAGGAATCCGGATGAATTAATGCTAGGTTTTGATTACTAATTTTTTGTTGATTTACTTGATCTCCACATATGTATGGAAAAATATAAGATAAACAACATACAAAATTATGCATACTGCCAATCGCACATAATAGGTTTATGCAGAACATAACAAGTCAACATTGGAAGTCACACTTTTCTGGGAATGCCTCTAACAGTCAACTACGACCGAATTCCGAGTAGAAAAGACTGGATCCTCCAGTAAAAGCAGATATTGTTGGTTCGCTCGTGAATTCAAAACACGTTTAAGTTCTATTGCAGGTGTATACAGTCATTAACCCAAGACAGAGATATCAGCCTGCTTACGGACCTATGCAACCGTATTTTAGGTGGTAATTTACGCCATTGATATATACGTGGAGAGATTGGCAGAAACCAACTTCACACTTGAATCATTGAAAATATTCTCGGATAGCTAAGAGGCTCTGTAAGCTTTGGGTATCACAAAGCCAACGTCCAAGTTGGTAGTGAACTGCCAAAAAAGACTCTTCTCACTAGAAAAGCTTAACAAGTTTTCTTTGGTATGGATTTCTGGTCACACTCACCTGGAAGTTAATGACGCCACTGACTATTTTGTAAGAGAGGTTGCAAGCGGTTTCATCAGACCAGAACCTGGCATTAGCATCGCTTTAGGTTTACCCAAACAAACACTAAATATCTGGATTGCAAGAATAGTTTCAGACCCCTGGTAAAATGTACCATGATTAATTAGCCCATTCCAAAGTGTTTATGCTTACTCCACTGCGGAATCAGGTTTTTAGAATCGCCATATTACAAAAAAACTCACCAAATAAAGAAATCGTCGCGTCGTGATTTATTAGGTCTAATATGAATAGGTGCGACTGCAATGAACCCTCACGGGTTGCAGTCAAGGCCGTGCCCAGAGGGGGTCCGGACCCCTCTTAATCTTTTCAGTATTTTCGTTTCTTTCCTGATAAAACATGGCAAAAATTAACACCAATGGGTGAAACGCGGTGGGTGGAAAATCACAACGGCTTGTTAAAATTCAAACAAATTTCAAATATATTATTGAGACTTTAGAACAATTCAGCACCGACCCGGGTATGAAGACCTCAACCAAAGCTTCTTTTTTTCTGAGTTCTGCTCTTACCAGCGAATTCGTGGTATCACTGCAGCAACAGTATGGAAAGTCCAGCAGTCACCTCTTTCTGACTTAATAACAGCTGTCAACCATATTGAGAACGTATTTTCTAAATTTTCGATCCAATATTAAAAAAGAATTTTCGAATTCATTTACAGAAGCAAAGGATTCATTGGCCGATGTCAATGAAGAGATCAAGCTTCCACGGGTGACATCAGTACAGAAGCATCGCGCTAATCCAAATACTGATAACCCCGAGCATTATTACTTAACTTCCCAGCTCAAAATGAGATTTACTGACCACAAGAAAGTGATTGCTGCTGGGTACACTCTTATACCAACAGTCTGTTCCGAGAAGGAAACGCCATTCCCAAGAGAGGACCTAGTGATGTACGAGGACCTGGTGGAACTAGACGAGGCACAAGGCGAATTTCAACTATGGAAATTTTATGGTATTGCAAAAGCCCTTCGAACCGACCTTCTTGCGCTATTGAGGCTGTCGGAACGCAACAGGCAATTATATCCCAACATTTATATGTTGTTGAACATCTTATCGACTCTACCAGTAACCACGTGCACCCCGGAAAGGTAATTTTCCACAGTTAGGCGTCTAAAAACCTACCTACGGAATTATTTTGGGCAAGAGAGGCAACCGGGTTGGCCCTAATGGCAATTCACAGAGATGTCATCATCCCAACTGATGCCCATAAAAAGTCTAGAAGGCTTGATTTTGTATTGTGAATTCACTGAAATGGAAATTTGAGGTTTTTGATTTTAAAAACGAATATGTTAGATGCATTTGGAAAAACGTTCTCATAAAGTTTATTCCACATATACGCAGTTCTCCAAATGAAAGAGTTCTTAAACAGTGAAGTTCGAGGTGTACTGAGTTGAACCTCAAGACGATGAGCAGCCACAGTCCGTCGCGAATTTCTGATATGTACCGCTCTTGGTGGAATCAAATGTGCCAAGTCACTTGAACACCTCCCGTGATAGTATCTATAAAATAGAGACAAATCTCCAACATTTCTTCGATGTTCCAGACTATCAAGGTTGCAAGTGATGTTCGCTTCTCCAATCAGATAGATGGCTCTTTTCTGGATGCAATCCAGCAGCTTCAGGGTATGATTAGGGGTGGAGCTCCATACATAATATAATGGACACATATTCCAAAGAAAGACTGATCTGAGTTTCATAAAACATCAAAAGTTGCTGAGGTGTGTACAGTTTTCTGGTTCGGAACAGTGTTCCAAGCATTCAAGAAGCAGTATTTTTGGAGAAAACTGATGCCTGGGTTTTCGTGGCATTGAATTGAACCTGGTTAACTTTCACCCCAATTCGAAATCACCTCTAGATCCTCATTAAGATATGCAACTTCCTGCTGCCAGCGAAGATGTGCCTCCGTAGCCGATGGCCTGGAATCCAAATGAAATGACGAGATAAGTTTGCTGTCGTCAGCAAAGCAATATATGAGATTCTTGTTTTTTTTCGATAAGTCGTTGATATACAATAAAAAGAGGGTTGGAGATAATTTGGATCCCTGGGGAACACCAGCGTTGATCGTGAAAGTATTCGGGAGATATCCATCGACGGCCACTTGCAGGGAATATTATTTCAGGAAGCTGAAGAGCTATACACAGAAATCATCCGACAAGCCATAGCATCGAAGTTTGGCCACCAAACCCTCATGCCACACACGGTCAAATGCCTTAGAAATATCAAGCACAACAGAATTCTCCCGCCATCTCTTCCTGCCTGATTGCTTGTCTGTCTGTCTATCTAAACACGATAAACTCAAAACTTACTGAATGTATTTCCATACGGTTTTCACTAACGGACGTTGTGTATATAATTTATTAATAATTTGTGAAGATTGGTTTATATGTGACGATGTATTCCGTGAGAAGTCGGAGCGGAAGTGCTGTATACCCGTGCGAGCTTTCATCAATAACGCTACCAAATCCCTTGTTTTTTGTTTCAGCACCATCGGAAAAAATTACAAGGAAGGAGGCTCGATTTCGATTGCAAAAGGAGAAGACAAGCGAAAGGTATTGATCATTATTCAAAATTAAATCATTTTCCTGAACTGTGTGTCCTTTATCTATATTTTGCACGCAATTTTTTCAAGTAGTTCTGAGAAATATTTCCATATTATTATTTTATTCAGACATTCAACTTCAAGTCCATTCATATTCACACCGCACTTACGCCCCTGTAATAAGCGGCATTAACTGGTAGAGAATCATCCAAAATGATCCACTATGAAATTAAAAAAAAAAACAAAAATACTCAGAGAATTGTTGAATTTCATTGTAGTCGTGTTGTGAATCATGTGGAGTACACGTGGGGCAAAGAAAGACGACACATTCGTCATCAATAAAATACGCCATATAACACATACTTTCATGTAACTTCGTTTTCTTCTACAAGTAAAAAACGAAAACAAAACTGTTAACGTCCACGATCAATCAGCGAGAATTATTGTCTAACGTGAGATTTGTGCTAATTGTCACAGAAGCTGTGGCGAACATGAGGAAATAAAAAAAAAAGTTTTTATAATTCAAATATTTTGTTTAGGTTCTTCGATATTTCAATATTTTCAATTAATTTCCTCATTTGTTATTTGCTATGATTAGTGGTTGAAAAGTGGTTTTTCAGTAAGTTCTACATTTGACATATTATTAAATATGAGAAATACTTGTTTGATATATTCTTANTGGATTACTGTAGGTCGACCACTTCGGGACTCATCTTTCCGGCTAAAATCTCCTGAACGAAATTTCGCAAACCAACATCGAACGGAACGTTCATTACCACTATCATTGACAAATTTCTGGTTAGTTTTTTGTCTGTTTCGGCAGCTCTTTGGTTCAATTTGAATTAAAATAAAAAAATTGGTCAAAAATTGCTTAAGGACCTCATATAGTAATAAGCTGAAAAGAGGCAAAAAATTAAAATTTGTTAAAATAACAGCATCAGTGTATAGATTACAAAATTCTCTATCGGTCAGTAGACAACACAGTACACAATACAATGAATATTTATTGAGATATGGAGCCACAAAAACGTGATATCAAAACGGACAGAACTTTTGAAATGATGTAATACTTCATCTTTTGAAGATGCCAACTGGTTGGTAAAACGCGCGTCAAAAAAATGGTGTATTTCTGGTGCAATGCTTTTTTCTTGATTATCACATTGTCAGATTCTCAAATAAATCTCGTAAAGAAGAACGAAAAATATTATTCTATCAGTAAGAAAACATATCTAGCTGACAGAACAAAAAAAAAGATAAATCAAGCAAATATATCTAAAACTATAAATATAAAACTTCAGATCAGATAGATCAGAAGTATATGAGTTGACTTATCATCGGTCAAAAGGGAAGAACTTCTTCCAAAAGGATGAAAGAGCAAAAAAGTAGTTTTTTCATCTGAGAAAACACCAATGCAACATTTGCAAATCATCGTTTGACAGGCGACAAGAGTTCAATCATGACTACGACGTATTACTTTTGGAGGGGAAACGTTTGAATCTCTTAATATTTTGGTATATTAATAGGTCCAAGAACTCGAAACATTTCCTCACTGTGTATAATTTAGTTTAGTATTCAGCGGGGATGAAGAAGCTTGTTTCTTAAATGAATAGTTTCCTAAATAGCAGCCATCATTATGAACTACTATACGAATCTCCTCTAGAGAAGATAGAATAACCAATAAATACGGTTGCATCTCTAAAATATTGCAGCGGTATCACAATGTGATGTGTGGTGTCATATTGCCAGGATATCGCGGCGACACTACAGCTACATACTTTTGACCCAACGATTATATAATCGTTGCTTTTGACCAACTCGTACAATATTTGCGATATGCCTGCGAAAAGTTTTTGGCTATGATCGTGCGACAAGTTTTACGATGTTACCGTGACATCTCTAAAATGAGTATCTGAAGTAAATGATTTCTGTGATTTTCAATGCATATTTTTGTCAACATATGGAAACCTATTACCTATGTTCCAAATGAACCAATGGCATACTTTTTCGTAGAATATGATTTAAATGTCGCTAGATTTTCCTGGAAAATTCTGATTCCCTACCTTTAATGCTTTGTTACTCGTCACTAGGCTCTGTATGCTATGGTAGTTTAAAAGTAGTGTTTTGCGTCCATTCTGTAATTAGTTTTTTTTCTGATAGACAATGTAGCAAATGTGGTTGTGTTAGACCCACTTTACCCAATGTTAATAACATTAGAGATTGAAAACTATTGAAACAGTTTACTAGTTTTCTTTGAAATTCAAACACTTTATTTTCATTTGGATGATTCTCCTCAGACATCTAATGATTTTTCTCAGACCTCTAATGATTTTTCTCAATATTACTCCAGAATTATTCATTTACCACATATTAACTTCTAAAATGGCATTCACTTTCATTGATCACAATAAAATATTTTAAAGCATGATATAATAATGAGCATGGTTTAAAGCATCTAAAGGAATTCTCACAACTTATTCCAGCCCTGTGAAATCACAGGGATCAGCTTATGGTATGTTCTGTATAGTTTCAATATGTATCGCCAAATAGTTATCGAGTTTCTGAATGGTTTTTGACGAGGGTCAAGCAAAATGTTTTGTATTTTACGTCTATCAGTGAAATCGAATAAAATCTCAATTTTTAAGATACTTCAAATATCATTCAGAAATTTAGCAAATCATCTATTGCGCTTTCATAATGTTTACAATATCTGTTTTATTTTTTCAAGTATTATGTGTAATAGTACTTTTTTACATATATCATGTTATACAATACATGTGAATATGCAACAAACAAAAGTCAGGTAAGGTCTATGTCAAAGAACTTGGTTCCTTTCGTATAAGAAAAAAAACTCCGCTTAATTTGATTCAAATGGAACTTGCAATCAATGCCGAAATATTTTGTTGGTTCACCTATTCCAGAACGTAAGGGAACATAACGTTGTAGTAAGACTCCATATGTAAGATTAGTTTTTCTAAATGTTCTCATGGAGTTTTTATTTAGAAAGTAAAACAATTGCACAATAGTGGTGAAGTCGCCATGGGCATAGAATAAAAATAACTGGGAAAATAACTTTCTGGCTTTCAACTTTTCCTTCTTCCGAAATTTCCGAAAAAAGAAACTTCATTATAAACTTTTTGCAACGATATATGGATACGCAGAGAAGTTTCTTTTAGATAGAAACTGGAAGGTGAAGTACAATAGTAAGGATATGAACGTTGAATTGCATACACAGAAATAACTTCTCATTCAGTTTTTACTCCAATCATTCGTAATAGAATTGAAACAGATATCATTAACAGGGATGCTAGACAACGTAATAAATAAAGAGAATAACATGGAAAAATATCATCCTTACGTGAAGTTTGGGGCCTTAAACATTTAACTTGAACTCCTATCAGAAAATTTTTGAATTGATATTGAAGACGAAACATTCATTTCTCGCAAAAAAAAGGCTGGGTTGCCGTGTTTTAATGGAGACTTTTGACTCCGAACGGTTCGGTTTGGTGGTTGGCAGGTTCCTCAAATCCTCGTCCTGGATTACTGTAGGTCGACCACTTCGGGACTCATCTTTCCGGCTAAAATCTCCTGAACGAAATTTCGCAAACCAACATCGAACGGAACGTTCATTACCACTATCATTGACAAATTTCTGGTTAGTTTTTTGTCTGTTTCGGCAGCTCTTTATTATTTATTCGTTTTTAACAAAAGTTTTAAGAATGATTTTACTAACCTTGTTTTGCTTTGTGTTTCAACCTAACCTTCAGTTTTTCTTCATTTATTTTATTTGTGTTTATTTTGTGTTGGTGACTCAGGAATTTATTATGTTGGCTACATTGAAATCATCTTTTTTCATGAACAAACTAATGTTGAAATCCTTCCTCGTAGTTTTCTCGTTTACACAAAATTTTGACCATGGTCTTCACGATCGTTAACACAACCAGAAGAAATGAATGGGGACGACTGCGTAATCACCCCCATGTTTTATATGGGGAATGGCATGAATGATGAGATGAATCTTCAAATCATTTTTGCAAAATTATAAATAATCAAGGTAATTTTCTATAGTATATCCTCAATCATGCTGAATAGTTATAATTTTCCCCAAATTCTCAACTTTTCATATTTCAAATCAAGACATATGAGTTTTTATATATTTCATGGAAAAACCGCAGTTATACCCAATCATAAAGAATGTACGTTTTTTCTGGGTTACACTAAGTAAACAAATTTTTTCAATTCAGTATTTTCTTTACCTTTTCTTTGATTCTTCCTATTATTCCCTAATACTCCAACCCTCTTTCAGGTTATTTCGAACCACAATGCTTGTGATGAAATCATTATTAACTTCTATTCTGAAATGTATGTTGAAAGTTATCTCTTTGTCATTGAAAGTATTAATTGTTGAAGTAATCAACAGATTATAATAAATTGACTGTACTGCTACTCATTGTGTCTCGTTAGCTGTGTTATATATGTGATCAGCATTTGCAGATGTTTGTGCAGCAGTTTCTTCTTAAATTCTTCATTTCAGTCAGACTTGGACGTCCATAATGTGAATCTACTGTTGTTAACAATATGAAGGTGAAAATTGACTACACATATTTCAACACTCAATAGTGGCCTTATGTGATAATCGTATCTATTATTCACTTAACACCATGCAAATATGGATGAAAGATAAATAACAAATATTTTGCTATAGAAAAATTTTTTTTAGACAATGATCGATAGGATTAGAAATTTAGATTTTCATGAAGATGTATTCCAAGTAAACATCATTTTTCGAAATTTTTTTGGGACAAAAGCATTTTGGTTTTCTGCTTCTCCAGCATAAACAAAAAATGGGTGAATTTTGTGAAGGAAGAAAGAAAGAAAATAACTACAATGAAAACTATTTATAAATATATGTAGAGCATATACGGAAGTTTTTTTCAGATACAAACTGGAAGAAAAAAATTCTTTTAAAACAACTACTTTCACATGAACAATGAATTACATAAAAAAATCCCTTCAAAACAATATTGATTTATATGAAAATCATTTTTTTCTGTTCAATTTGTATTGCAAAGTTCGTTATAGTATTGAAGCAGTAGTATAGCATGATCCACGTAAACGAAAGATTTCGGGAGATCACAAAACACTACCGCACTAGACTCCTTGAAATTCAATTGATAAAATGATTTTTCAAAAAGGCATCTTTTATATTCTTCTTGTATTGAAAACAAAACCGATGGCAATACAAAATTTTATGTTTGACCAGAAATTCAATCGATCTTATTTTAACCAGTTTTTGTATCTATTCAGTCAATGTTGGAATGATTAAAGTCGGTCAAAAATTCTAAAAATCCGAGGTTTCATTTGGGAAACATTACCGTTTTTTATTGTTTAATTCTTCTGATATTATATTAGAAGCCATCCTCCAAATGAAAAAAATATATAAATCAAGATGTGTTGAGTCTTTGAAATAGGTGACAAAATAACGAGAATCTGATTCATTCTTGGCAAGTTGTCAACTCCAGCTTAGATGCTATGATGTGTGCAGTTATTTTCAATTGAAAAACAAACATGTTCATACGCCCAAGTCTGACTGATACGAGTAGTTTTATATGTGAAGTATACTGAAACAGCTGAATAGTGTAGAAAAAATGTCATTTATTGCTCGTTTACCGTTAATTCCAAAGTGCTTGATTTGTTGTTCTGACACAGATGTGTTGGTAGCCTCTTCACAAGTGTCTTCGCCTCAACACAAACCATACCAACTTGAGTTGCACCCGGGACAACAATCTGCTAATGGTAAACTTTCTTTATCTTCTTCATCCCCTTCTTTTTCGTGTATTGTAGCTGAATAGTGTTTTTTATTCTTTGGCTTTAGGTGTTTTATAACGAATGCAAAAAGGAATTTAACAATGAAATGTTTGTAACATAATGAACTGTAATGTTGTGATATTTATGTTTGTAATCATAGGTATTTGTTTCAATTATTATTTGACTCACAAAAATATTAACTATATTTAGTAAATGTTCATGAAAGGTTTCGTCAAAAATGTTGTTTTCATTCTGCAAATTCACATGACTAGGGTAGAATAACAGTGTGCATTTAGGTTAGGTCCGAAATCCACTGCAACCTGAAATGGTTTGTTGTGGTTCACATCTGTTCAAGCTTGACCAAGAAAGTCTAGCTGCTTAACGAAGTTTATCAGTTTATATGGTGAGTGAAACTCAGCCAAACTCTGAAAATTTGATTCAGTTTGCAGTAAACAGGCACAAAGGATCTGCTCATCTGTGTCATCATTTTTCAAACAGAGATGACCTCAACTGTCTTCCGAAAATGCAGGTCTCTGATATGATAATTCAGACGAGTGACCTGTATGTAGGCCTGTTAGACAAAATAGTTCAGAGCAGAGCTCAGTGTGATGCCAATAACAGATTCTGGTCCGATGAAACCACTTGAAATATTTTCGGGGAAAAATCTTTTTCAAATCTGAAAATTTGCATCACTAAAGTACTATACTCTATGGTACATGAATGGAATGCTCTGAATACCTCAAAAACTTCAGTATATCAATAACCGAATTAGAGTTGGATTTATAATTGAACACAGATCAAAATATCTCGAATGTTGCCTAACTTTCAGTTTCTGCTGTTAATATTCACCAACTTTGTAATAAATAAATAACCCTTTGCGTAAATCGACCAAATCTCAAAATGCAGTTACTCAGATTTTTGGTATTTCATTTCAAACTCATCAAGTAAATATTATTTTCAATTTAGAAAGATTTTTTTTGATAACATGATCAAATTATCCCAGAAAAACAATTGTTTCTTTGCCAACGTTCTGAATGTATGTGAAAGCTTCTTCAGGGCTCGAAAAGGATTACTACACTATTTAACTGATTATTTTCAATTATTCCATTGGAAATGGTCTCTCACGAAACTTTGTGACAAAGCAAATTCTATGTGGACGAAGCCGCGGGCAACAACTAGTTATTCAATAAAACGATGATGGCGATCAGCACCCAGCTTTTTTCTGAGTTTATAATTCATTTTATTCAACTTACAGTTTTCCTAATCAATCTGTTCATTTTCTCAACAGTCTTTGTCTCAGACATGACAATAATAAAAATAATNCAAAACTTCAATTAAAAAAAAAAAAGAATTTTGTTGAATACCGTTTTCCATAATTGCTGTTTGTTTCAGGAAAATGATGTGATAATGCTCATGAATAAAATCGATGAAAATTGGTTTGAAGGTAGTGTGCACGGCCGAACAGGTTACTTCCCAGTAAACTATGTGAGAGTGGACGTACCATTGCCATGAATTACGGGTTAAATAAGGTATCAAGAACAACAACCCCTTATATTTATTTGAATACTGAATTGTGCATGTTTTGTTTTTCACTTGCCTTCATTGTATGATCATATATTCAACTGCACTCTCAAAAGTGAGATCAAGCCATATATTATATGCTAGTGATTAATGCGCATTTAATTTAGTTAGATAGAAAAAATGTACTGAATTATTTATATTTTAAATATCTCCCTGATCTACAGAGTTAATTTTCGATTTTGTATATATATAGTAAATAATGTTATAGAAAGTTCATCACTTACTCTGAAAAAATATTTTTGAAGGAGATAGGAAGTGTGAATGTTTGTGTGCAGTTGAAAATGATGTATTTTATTGTATAATTGAAGCAACAGTGATTTTCCGAGGAAGTTATGTCGACAAAATTCATTTTAGTTGTAAATATTTAGTATGTTCCAACTTAGTTTATTTACTATTACCAGTTAGTTGAAGATTGTTATTTAGATAATAAAATAGTTGTGTCCCGGTGGGGATTTTGAAAATCCTACATCGGCTACACTGCAAGCATAAGTCAATGGCAGTTTCTTATAGCGGGTCCAATAACTAAACCCAATTACTAGTAACTAAGTCTATACCTAAGAAAACCACATAACCACACTTATTTTTCATTCGATATATTACTATACTACTGAAGATGATTCCATATAAACAAAAAAAAGCAATACTCTTTCATTCATTTTTCCATCATTGTACAAATTTGAAATATTCGGTTTCCGGCCCCTGTGATACAAATCATTCTATGAATAATTGCTCTACAGGATCGTGTATCAAGAGGCAATGATTTTCAATGAAATTTTTTCTTCCATATTACTCTACTGATATATAAGCAGTTCTTCATTGTAATATATCAACACATATAATGAAAGTGTAACTGATTGTTTTCAGTACATGGAAGATATTAGAGAAAAACTATTATTGAAGGCTCTTTATTAACATCCGCATGGGTTCCTTCTCACATGGTAAAATAGTAAACGAAGGGACACACCGGTTGGCGAAAGTCAAGGTAATCATATTTCGTCTGAGAATGGGTCATACTCATCTTACTCAGGATATCACATAACTGGTAATAACCGTGCTATGTGTGATTTTAGTAGTGTATTTTTGAAAAGGTACTAATTCCGATGATTGTATAAACCACTTGGTCTTCCGAAGTATTTTTATTCCTTTTATATTGATAGACCTGTGAATGTTTTAATGGAACAGCTGGAACAGCAAGAACTAGTAGGCTTCATGTCACTGTATGATAGTTCATATTGCCATATTGCTGAAGGTTATGTTATGTGAATGTTTAGAATATACCATTAATTCTACTGAAATTTAATAAACAAATTATCATCTTTAGCATCACCATTGCCGTCCCCTATGAAATCTCCTGCCAGGACTCCAATGACACGGCAGCCATGTTGTACGGCACTGTATGATTTCGAACCAGAAAATTCTGGTGAACTTGGATTTAAGGTAAACTTAAGATACATGATATTTAAATTATAATTTCCAATTCAAATCTTATTCTACTGTTGAATATCTGGAAGTATGCGAGTATATTGGTCTGAACCCTTTCCCTCTTGTTATTTTACTGAATTTGATTACTTCATTATATGAACATATATATATATANTTTCAGCTTAAATATTATAAATTATTTAACCTTGTCCTTCGACATGCTATAGATGTATTATATTTGTGTGAAATTAATACCAGATATTTACCGGTTTGAGTTGTGTTTTATATTAGTTTCAAATACACATCCAAGAATGTGAAGATCCACACTAGTTTTGAATCCTTGTTCATAAAAATTTACCTCCCCTCCACTCACCTGAAGGAGTTTTTTTAATATTCACGCCTTCATAACACTAGTAAATCATATTGTTCAAACAACGAAGGTGAATAATGAATTCTTGGGGCCCATATTTTTCAGCAGAAATCGTTTTTCCGTGTACTCAAAACAAATTATTTTGATTTTAAATCGTAAGTATTACACTTTTTTCATAACAAAAAAAAGTTATTTTACTTAAATAAAAAATACATTGTGATTTGCTTTCAGAAAACAAAGTAAAATTTTTAATAACTGATACATATCATACAATACAATGATCGTGTGATAATCGTCTGGTAAACAAATACAATTTCAACAAGCAATCTTTTCATATTTTGCAGAATATTCATACTCTCAAATCCATTCTCAAGAACAGTATTTTATATACAAACCGTTTTTTACCCTGATCCTGCCTTTGCTATCTTGGGAAAGGGAAGACTTACAAAGTTTGTTGATTTATAAGTTACCTATTCAGAGAGACAATAAAAATATTTCTTCAAATCACGAGGTGTCCTTTTCGAGATATTTGCAAAAGACAAATTACGGAAAAAATGTTTTTCATTTGTAAAGGTGCTTATACATATGAACGCGAACGTGGCATTCATCACACCATTCGCCGAAGCAGTGAATGGACACTTTCCACTGGCTCTTCATTGGTTAGCGAATAAATTTGCAGTAGTTTTTTCGATTAGATATCAGTACAGTAATCATATAAAAAAAAATATGAGTGTCCTGATGATGAAGTGATTATCGCGAGTGCAATTTTCATAGCAATTTGTTTTTTGGCTAAAAACCGAAAAAGAAGACGGTCAATGACCAAATTGTATAAGGCTCCTCATACATGGACCGTTGTTTATTCAGAGCCAAATTAATGATGAAAGGGATGGACATTTTCACGATTTTGTGAGTGTCTTCACATATTGTAATCGTCTTAGAAAGTATACGAGAGAAAATTTCAAGAAGCGATACAAAATTCCGACGAGCAGAGAAACGGTTGTCAATTACGTTGAGTTTTTGGGCAAGTGGTTATTCATTCACTAGTTTGCAATACGTTTTTGATGAATCGAAGCAGTCATTTTTAAGAATGCGAATTCCCTTTGACCTACCGACTGTCTACGGTTGTTCGGCGACGTTCATCATATAGCTGAATGGCTGTTTGTCTCGCCTCGGTGGCACGTCTACATCAAACGCTCGCCTTTGGCATTTGCTTTCAGATGTATACGCACCTTAATAAAACAAGTGCCATACTTACGATTTAAAATCAAAATGATTTTTTCTTGGTCCATGAAAATAGAATATCTGCAAAATAAATGTAGGTCCTAATAATTTTTCATTTTACCCGCTGCTTGAACACCGTGAAATTTGTGTTAATAAAATAAATGAGCAATATTTATTCATATCTCCCCAGTTATTCTAGCCAAACATTATTTCCAGTCTGACTTACAGAATTATAAACAATAACTCTGATAATAAACGTGTTCAAAAGTTATGTTAGGTTGGAAATGTGTTGGAAAGTAAATTAAAGTTAAGATGGTGTACAAATTTTATGAACTGTTGAAATTTAGAAATATATGTATAAAAATGTAATATATTTGTACATAAATAGGAATGGTTTTTGGATGTGCTTTTCACAATTGCTTTCAATTGAGTATTTGTGCATTAATAAAAAATTGTGTCGCAATTTACTTGAATTTCCAATATCCAATACTCAGTCTTCAGAACGAGTTCCGCAAATGTCACAGAATATTAGAGAAGTTAATTTATTTCAACTAGACATGAGATGTTTTTATATGGTCCAAATTTGATCAATTTGACAAAAGATGAATTAGAAAGCAGTGAAATCCTGAGGTAGCAACCTCTCAGAGTAAGTATTTTCCCAAGTGAGTTACATATTTTATGCCTGTTCTGATTTATGGTGATTAGCCTGATCAAATGTAGAAAAGGTGGTAAATAGTCCGATTTTATCTTATAAAAAATACAAACACACAAACTTGCTTCAACAAAACAGCAACCCTACCAAATGTAGATAGAAATTCTCATCCTTTCATTTTCCCACTTGAATGCCAATTAGATTTTTGTAAGCCAAGCAATTGACAGACACGAGTGATGCCATTCAGTGGCAGATTCAGAAAATCACTTTGGGGGGGCTCAGTTTACAATTCAGAGTATGGGTATATAGGTATATAACCCCTCCATAAAGCACTGAGTCCTTGGAGGCTTTCTTTTTACGTTCAGTAGTATTCCATTCAGGAACACACATTTGAAAAAAAATAGTTTTAAATATTGTCGGTAGCCAGGCGGTTCGACGTGAGTGCTTCGTTCACTCACTCGAATTGACTGTTGTGTTGGTAGGTGGTTCAAGCCCCAGTCTGAACGATCGATTTTCACTTGCTATCGTCCAACCCGTGTAGGAATCACACGTTAAAAGGTAAGACCTCGTTAATCCTTAGCTCGCACAAGTTTCGACTTCTGAGGGTTGTCGTACGTAGGGGCGCGACAGCTGGTTAACGGAAAAACAGATTTTTTTTAACAATAAATTAACTGTCTTAAATAAAATGTATTTCCAACAATATTTCACTAATCACAAACAAATTTATTAATTACAACACTTAGCAACTAACGTTTAATTTATTTCCACTATTTGAATTTTTTGTTTAGCCGCTTGATTCACTTTCTGAACTGCCCTCTTGGGTCAGGAAGACGGGCCTATATCGGTAACGGTCTTTTATAGAATTCGTTTCGTTACTGGAGTTTTACCGGCTATTCCCGACAGCATTCTTTCACGGTGATGTCATGTGTTTGTTTCATGAGTCGGCCGGCGTACTGATCAGGAGCGGCTTCAGATTCGTTACAATATTAAAATTAACCCTTACCAATTAACCCTTCATTGTATTGTAAATATCTGATACGTGCAGTAAAGCCAAACCATTTAGTCTGTCTTCAGTCATTATATTGCGTAGATATTTTTTTGAAGAAAAAGTTTTCTCTGCTGTACTGGTAGTGACAGGAAAAGTGCACAACAGCTGCAGTATTATCCTGATGTTTGGGAGATAATCGGCAAACCATTTCTTCGTTCTATATCATCCTTTGGCACTCTTATTCACCGAATAACTCAACACAAATACTGAGAATTTCCCAAAGTTTCTTCAATTCTCCGATATTCTTCTTGAATTCATTTCGGATATTGTAGGAACACATAAACTAAAGTAAATCACGCATTTCTCACATAACTCTGACAAATAACGCAAAAATAACGAAATTTCACAAATTTCCTTCAGTTTTGTAATAATCATTTCAAATAGTTACAGATATTGTAGAGACGTTGTACAAGAGTGAAATTGTGCAATTCTCACATTATTCACCGAATAACCCAAACTTAAATTACACGAATACTAAGAAATTTCCCAAATGTTCAATTGTTATTTCGGAGAATATCAAAAAATGGAAAAACAAAATATTATTGTATTCGAAGTATACTATGATGATGTAATAATAAATATCGATAAAACGTTTCGTGTCAGCATGGCCACCATCAACTTTTTTGGGTAAATAGGGACCTGTCTTTTTTATTACAGGTATTGATAGAGCAATAAATTCACAATCCAAGGTTATATCACATTTGATATTTTTATAACGTTTTATGTGAAATAACCATCATCAGTGACAACAATCAAACAGAAAAACAATTTATTTTATTATGAACTTTTCGGAAAAATGAAACCAATACGGAAAATCAAAGCTACATGGCAATCTACATTAAATGCTCGAATTGACGACCTGTTTGTTGAATGCACATACGTTGTCGGTCCAGACAATTTCTTTGGCAATTTTCTAGCATAATAGGTGTAATACTAATACATGCAGCTCTTGTTTTTTGTTTGAGATGGCCTATATCTGTACTTGGTGTTGAAAAAACTTTATCCTTCCCAGACAAAAAAAATCTAAGTAAGAAGTAAGATCTGGGGATCGAGCTGGCCACCTGTTTGTTGAATGCACATACGTTGTCGGTCCAGACAATTTCTGTGGCAATTTNTTCACCTAGGATTTTATGTGCAATAACTTATATTTAAGACTGTAACTAACTGTTGGTTACATTATTTTATTTTTTTATTCAATAACCTTTTTCTATCAGATCAAGTATTAGTAATGGTTCAAATTCTTATAGTATATTTGTGAAAAATGACCCATATAGCCATGGACTCTGGGTCTGAAACTGCAATTTGCCCATTCTGAAATTGAAAAAAACATCAGTAATGGGTGGCATTCAAATGAAGTATAAAATAAACCATCTTTGTATACAATATCTATTATAAAATAAAGGTTACATTTTAACAAATGGCAGTGAGCAAAATTTAAATTCTTACAACACTAAGCTTACTTGATTTCATGCTTAGTTAAAGGCACGTTTCAAATATATAAATATTCAAGTACAAAGTAATGAAATAAAATTAAACTTTTGAAAGTTATTATAATACTTTTATTATACCGTATGTCCCAACGAAAATATAACATAATTATTTTATATAAAAGTGGAAAATATGGATGTTTGCTTGGTCAACAATAATGAGGAAGGATTTTATCTAAATTTGTAACCTTTAAATTCCGAATGTCCAGCAATGTACAGAAGGTACTTTTCTAGAAGCTATGCTAAAAAATTGAATTGGTTCAACCGAGGAAAATTTAAAATTCATCACAACCAATACCTTTCTCCTTACTAGCATGTAATCAAATGAGTTTTGTAAAAGATTGTTGTAGGTAAATTTTTGTTGGGGCACAAAATGACTTATAAATAATCAGTACTTTTATTCATGTGCCATTTAACATTATTGACCTAGTACTTTTTCCAAATATTAATAATTAGTAAATATTTCAAAATTGTCGGGAAATGCGCATTGATAAAAATACTGATGTCAAAATATAACCAACCGAACGGAATCATAATTTTCCAAAAATGACCAAGATGAGATCATAATAAAAAATGTGTTACTTAACTATGGCTGCCAAATTCATCACAACAAATAATAATAAAGGAATGTTCAATTATCGTAATATAAAAAGCTTCATACACAAATAAGTAATTTTCATAATATACTAAGTTGTTTAAGACAGACAGTATTTCGTAATTACTGATGGAGATGATCATTCAAATATTCCAAATGAACTTCTCTGCATACCACCATTATTCAGTAGAAAAATATGGTCAATTCTAGGAAAACATCAAAAAATATTTCTTCTATTTGTGTAAAATGAGTTACTGTAATACTGTTTAAAGATGCATAAAAAATTGATGAAAACTGATTTTAACCAGCCCAAAAAATCCCCAAAAGAATGTTTTTGTCTCTAAACCTCATGGACACTAAACAAATCAGCAAATGGGAGCTATGACAAATGCTTATAAAACATAGCTACCCAAAACACTTTTATCCAACACCAGAACTATGACTTATGTTGATACAGGTGAACTGACAATTTCATTCTACCTAAAACTATGAAGTAGTTTGTTGATAAAAGATGATTAGATTATTTTGAATGCAACCCTTGTCACTTCATGTTATGTTGTTTCCTTATTCTAAGACTGTTCTCAAATGTATCTCGAGAAACACGTATACTTTTTTAGTCTACTACATCGGATATCAACTATATTCTCTTTGAAACGAGATTTTATAGTTTGACCAGACTTCTCATCATATTCTTATTTGGCTGCCTAATAATTAATTGATGAAGTTTGTAAACTACTTTCGCTCAATATTTTGAAAATTTGATCCAAACCACAAATGTATTTTGGTTCATATGCGATTATAATATACTTTGGATGCATTAAGGATACTCTTTGCCTCCAACTATGTCCATAATATTTTTCAATATATCTTTGATATTTTAAAGGAAAAACAGAAATTTGAACAAGAATGTGTAGTCTCTCCTTTTTTGTTGTAGTGGGAAATAGAATATATCCTTATATAAATGAAATTCTGTACCATAATTTTTCAAAATAGATACTTTCGAAAACTAAACAATACAGCAGCTTTCAACAGGTGTAATGCAACCAGAAGAAAAGATAATGGAAATTGAGTTTTGCATTCATGATATTGATGCACATATTTGATTTCATAGACCAGTAAAGACACTCATAGTTCTTGGAGGAGGACTAAGAAATAATAAAACATTACTTGAAATTGTTGGGAATAATAATAAAAAGGGATATTTATTGAAAAATACCAAACAGCAATTGACTGAATTCCTTCATTGTTGTAAGTTTCTTGTGATTCAAATTAAGTAATTTTTAACCTATTAATAAGTTTCAATAAATGCACTTAAAAATATTACTCTTACAAATACACAATGGAATAACTCAAAACACAAAAAACCCCAAAATAATGAACATTACTTATATTTAACATTCAGATATTCCGATCAGCTGATTGCTGTTTGAGTAACGCCATCATTGGTAAAGATTTTTCCCTATATATTTTTTGGTTCTGGTGAGTGAGAAAAGTGTTTGTCAGATTTCTTGTATGTAAAAGGTTTGAATTTCACTTAACTGTTTTACTATCCCAGATAACATCGGATATTCTCTGGATATTCAATTCAGGTCAAAATATCTTCATATCCTAGGATAGGTAATAGATGTACATAAGATATTTCTCAGTTGACTCAAAATGGATATCCTTCGATGGATATTCTATGGACATCCATAAGATATCCAAAAAATGACGATATCTTATGGATGTCCACTGGATCTCCAATGCAAGTATTGACCTAAATGCTACAATTTATTTCATGATATAGTGGTATGAAATTGAATAGGGGGATCAGCTGGTTAACTGAAAAAGATTTTTAACAGAAATAATGTTTCATAAATAATAAACGCATTTTTGAGTCTTGTTAATACTGAAAGGAATTATACAGTTTTTTGTGAACACTGCCCTGCAGATTTTCATAAACAAAACTTATGAAAATGAAGTCATTTGTGCTCTTTTGCTCAAAAGTAGACATGAAATTGTATGCACCCCCATCATAACTATAAATTCTGTTCTCAAGCAAATACATTATATGCATCATAGAATAAAAATATAGGTATTATTATAAGTGTAGAATGAAAATTTGAAATGGTTATACAAACTCAAAATATTCACATTTTCTCAACTCTACTGCATTTTTACAGCTAATTTATAAATTGACTGAATGAAAAATACCCATGTGAAAAAATTCATACAATGAATTATCCATTCATTCTGCATTCTTCAAATGGTCTGAAATTGAGAAAATAAGCTCTTTTCTTTGAAAGTTGTTTTGATTCTATCAACTTTGAAAATTATCCCTTCCAAATTTTCATTCGAAATTAATAAATAACCAAAAATTGGGTAGAAAAATCATCAATAACATCAGTATAATATATGTTTAATAATTTCCTGCACTTNTTTCTCGGGTATCATCCATTTCTTTTTCACTGAAATTGTCTTGTTTACGCCTGTGGACTACTACGGCCAATAGAAGGACTAAAACAAAATAGTATTGAAATTATTCATTTGAAATAGCAGACAGCCATGGTAACAATGGTGAAAAATAAAAAGCGAAAGTAGGACCCAATATAAAATATTGATAAAAATATATTACCAATTCATGGTGCGATTCAGCTATGAGAGATATAGGTGGTAATAATAATAAAAATAATAATCTTCATCATCCATTTTGAAACAGCATGTACATATAAGTAAGTGAGTAAAATATGTAAGTATGTAAGTAAAATATTCACCGAGATTATAATAAAATATACAGACATAAACATCACACCTCAAAGAGTACACATAAAAACAAAAATATCAAGTATTTGAATGAATATTAACTATAAAAATAATCCTATCCATAATAATAATTAAATAATTTTCACTCTATGGACTTCAACCACTACATAATGGTTAAATCAGTTCAACTACTACTGTTTAGTGAAACGTGTTTTGAGTAAAGTTAATAGTGAACAATTTTTCATTATTATCATGAATAGTGATATTAATCTCCATCAAGTATTTCATAAAGAACATATTAGTTCATAGTGCTATTTGAATACTCCTCCAGACTAATAACATTTTTCAATCAAAAGAATTGTTTCACTTTCAAATATTTTGTCAATTGAAGATAACAACAGGTTATTGTAAAGAATTATTACATTATAAATAGGTGATTTCTTAAATTTTGTAGTTATGTGACATGGTACTCTTAGCTGACCACCATGGCATGTAGAATAATAATGCACCAATGCATTAGTTTGAAAAAATAGTAGATTATTTCTTACATAACATCATATATGTTTAAAAATGTATATACACAGAACTGATAACAATTTTTCTCTTATGAAAACCGGCTTGTAACAAATTTTGAATCTCAATATACAATGTTTGAATAATAAAAATTTGATAAAATGACTTAATATCTCAATCAACAACAGGAAATTGAAATTGCAGTATTGACAGCACTGGCTAAATCAGTGGAAAATAGATACTTTGGCTATCAAAAATTTTACAGTGGGACTATTCTCTAGAAACAATATGGAGTACATAGGTAGCAGGTTTATCAATTGAAATACAGATTGAAATCGTTGAAGTTACAACAAAATATGGAATAATTCTGGCACTATACAGATTGCTACAAGAATAAATCAATATATTTTTAGAACAGCTGGACTTTGTACTGCAATTCATAACTGGAAGTAAAATATGGAAAATGTTCATTTAGCTGGAGATTTCAATATCAATTTCGTGACTGAAAGTAACCTACGCTGTTTTGTGGAGGGCTTGTTTTCATCCTATTGTCATAAAACAACTATAGAACCATCACATATAACTCATAGATCTCAAAGTTCCATCAATAACATTTTCACAAATATAAATTCTGAAACGAACTCTCAAACAGATCATATGGGCGAATACTGAATTTAAATCAGAAAGAAGATGAAATAACAGAAAATTACAATGTGACAGCGAAAATGAAAATATTGAAAAATGCAAAGACAGACTATCAAAATTGCATTGGACAACTCTATTTGAAAATCTTGATCCCTCCACAGCAATATATGTTTAATAATTTCCTGCACTTTGAAAATCCACATATACTGACTATATCGACCACAGTTGTATTTGGAATGAATGATTATATTTTAACCTACACCTATCTACAACAAAAAACGTGTCAAAATAGAAAAATATTATAAAAAGTATGATTTATTCGTATTCAAAATATTGCTCAATTTTCATAAACTATTGATACTTGTGTCCAAATGTGATAAGGCAATATGTTTATACAAGGCATTAAATTTGAAGGCATGCACTAGTCTTATGAAAGTTTTCAGTCGGTTTTTTATTACCATCAAAAGTTACCGGCACATACTGTATGACTCAAAAATCAAAATCATTTGAAAAACTTTTATATCACTGATTGTAGGAAACAAAGTTATTCGTCATAAACACTCTGCAAGGACTAAAACCTAAAATGCAAACATGTTGATGACCACGAAAAAATTTTTGATACTGAACGACAAAGTCAATCTATGAAGTAGAAATATAGGTAAAAAATAACCTGACTTTCATCAAAAATTGATTCAGTTGCATATTTGAACATGATTTTCAATACTGATCAACTTTTTAATTTTATTGTCAAAAATAAAGGTATTTCAAATTTATGACTTCACATAGAACTAAAGTATTTTATAAAAGAAGGTATCATTTGAGATTTTAGTTCGATACTAAAAAAAGTTTTCCATTTGGTTCGACTTAGTTGAGACATACTGTTCTCCAAAAATCATTTTCATGCAATTGAAACTGAAATAAAGTTTTCGTAAGATTAGTATGGCCTTTCATATATTTTTCATTGTATATCGATGATAACTGAATTTGTGAAGAAAACTCACAACCCTTCAGTACGTAATTGCAAATAGGAATTACAAAAGTTACTTATCCTAACTTTGTTCAAATCACAGAAATATTGGGACAGAAGGCCGTTTAGAAACTAATTGTCAATTATGTTCAGACAGCCCAATTCTCAATAAAGGAAAATCGAAAATTTTCAAAAATAAGGGAGGGACAACAAGCTGCGACAGTATCAAACTGCCTGACATGAATGGAAAATAGCATAATGTCAGTCTGATGATGTCTACATAATCAAAGTCACATATTTACAACAAGTTTGCTCAGTTCCTTCCGAAAATATTTCTTTGGTTATAACATAAAAGATTAAGTACAATTTCTTTTTCTACCATTTCTACCTGAAGTTCAACACCAAGACTCCTCACCACCGTCATGAGAGTCTTCATCACTTGTGCCTCCACCATACATATCAGCCAATTTCCTAAATTTCGAACCAAAACTAGGCAAATGATCGAACTTCAAATCTCCGTCATCTGTATTAGAAGAAAGGGATGAAAGAGAAGCATAACTGTTGCCGTCGCCTTCATATGCGTAATGTCGAACATCGTCATCAGGGTCTTTGTCACAGGTGTCCATTTTATTTTCAAGGAATCCACCTATGTCGGCAGTCATATCGGGATTTTCTTGCATTAAGGGCTTTTCATTGGTAATACGATTCTGACATAATACAGATAGGTCATAGTGTGTATCACATTCGCCGCCACCTTCATCTTCATAATTGATTATATTTTCTCGGGTATCATCCATTTCTTTTTCACTGAAATTGTCTTGTTTACGCCTGTGGACTACTACGGCCAATAGAAGGACTAAAACAAAATAGTATTGAAATTATTCATTTGAAATAGCAGACAGCCATGGTAACAATGGTGAAAAATAAAAAGCGAAAGTAGGACCCAATATAAAATATTGATAAAAATATATTACCAATTCATGGTGCGATTCAGCTATGAGAGATATAGGTGGTAATAATAATAAAAATAATAATCTTCATCATCCATTTTGAAACAGCATGTACATATAAGTAAGTGAGTAAAATATGTAAGTATGTAAGTAAAATATTCACCGAGATTATAATAAAATATACAGACATAAACATCACACCTCAAAGAGTACACATAAAAACAAAAATATCAAGTATTTGAATGAATATTAACTATAAAAATAATCCTATCCATAATAATAATTAAATAATTTTCACTCTATGGACTTCAACCACTACATAATGGTTAAATCAGTTCAACTACTACTGTTTAGTGAAACGTGTTTTGAGT